AAAAATATTTACTTTTTCAAAACAATTAGTTTTTAAGCTCCAAACACCCAAGGAAGAAACTGAGCCTGGGAGGTTGGTGAGATAAGGTTAATCTCAAATTGAGTGTTGAAAACCAAACTCATATGATAATCCTTTTTCCAATCTTATTTTACCTTGATCCTATTGAAACTGTGCATGCTAGGTGATAAGTTAAAAATAAGGTTGAGGGAAGATAATATGGATATTGATTAAAGAGGTGAAAGTGAGTTAAGCCTATGATGTTGATAATGTCCCTTCATCTCACCGAAACATTAATTATATAAAACTAAAGCATGCAATAATTATAAATCTTTCGAACAAATATAAATAAAATATAAATAATAATTTAAATTAATAAAATCATATTTTAATATAAAAAATTTACCATTATCGACCTCTCTCGTAATTTTGGTTTAAGAACATGGTCTTAAAAAAGTGGACAAATCAAATGTCAAGTCCCTTGTCATGTGGGAGTGAGATGACCAATTTCACCACATGAGACAGTCCCCCAAACCGCAATTAACGGTAATTGTTTCGACAGCTTCGCAGTCCAACACAGTTGAAGTCCTCAGCTGCTTCTACACCTGAAAATCCCGAGGTTGTTTCCTCGGGGAAGACACTCCGATGCTCAAGTCAACAATACTCAATATTCTAGAGAGAGGTGCTCTCAAGGAGTAATTGCAGAGAGAGAAGTGTCGAGATTAATTACCTTCTTCGAAGGTGGTTGGGGGGTATTTATAGCCCCAAGTGTTGATATGTATCTGCACATGTAAGCCTCTCATTGGCCCACGTGGTGCTGCTCACGTGGGTATGTCTCCTCCTCTTGGGCTTGTGGGTACGTAGTTGGGCCTGCTGCATGTGGCCCTAAGAGGGCATTGGACCTAATCCCAATAGTAATTAACAGCAGTTAAGTTGGCTGTGAGAGTACGAGCTAAATTGCTTCTATTGCAGAGTTCGGGGGCTTATATGCTTCAATTAAAGTCTGGGGGTTTAATAGCGATTCTGGGGTTAGTTCAGGGGCTTAACTTATGGTTTTGCCTAAAATTTAAAAAGGCATCAGGTGTGGACAATTCCATTTGATCAAGCTATCATTGCCGTTGACTTCAGTTATAGGTTGTAGTCTTTACTACGTGGATCAGTGGGTCCCGAAAGACATCTGTACTCTGTCACATCATTGCTACTTTTTATCCAATGAACTGTAATAAATAACTTTTTGCTTGACTTGATTAAAAAATTTAACAATATCTGATCATGTGATATTAAATTTTGAAATTTTTTATTTTGTGTATTAAAGATAAAAAATAATAACTTAATAGTCAATTGT